ATACTCTTCATATGGTTATACAGTTATCTATTAATTATATTTAATACCATTATAGGTTCCATACCAACATACAATTGCTATACTGAGGGGCAACTGTCATTTGGTATTACTAATCTTAATTGTACTGGCTCAGAACAACATATTTTTAACTGTACACATAGCAGTCCATATTTATATAACTGCAAGTCACATAATGATGCTGGCTTAATTTGTCAAAGTATGTATGCTCTACTATAGATAACTGTATAATTGTACTTACAGAAACTGTGCAACAATCTAATTGTACTGATAGTGAGGTGAGATTGGTTGATGGTAGTGGTTCTCATGAAGGAAGAGTTGAAGTGTGTATTAATGAAGCATGGGGTACTGTCTGTTCTAATGGCTGGACTAATACTGATGCTAATGTAGTCTGTAAACAATTAGGATATCTACCAATAGGTTTGTATAATAATTTGATGATATTTAATGTTCAATTATTATAGGTGGAAGAGCAAGATCCAGTAGTGATCATTTTGGTCCAGGAGTTGGTCCAATACTGATGGCTAGTGTTGATTGTACTGGTAATGAGGAATCATTAATAGAGTGTAGGACAAGATCATGTGATGCCACTACTTGCTCTCATTATAATGATGCTGGGGTCACCTGTGAACGTAAGTAAAATGCACTACATTATATGTTATTCATTTACAACAGGTACCTGTACTGATGGTGAGATTAGGTTAGGTGATTATGCTGTCCTAAGGGGAAGAGTTGAAGTGTGTATTAATAACACATGGACTACAATCTGTGCTAGCTATTGGACTGACAAAGAAGCTACTGTAATTTGCTTTCAGCTAGGATACTCACGCTATGGTAAATTGAATACAGAGGTCCTACTAAAATAAATCACAAATTTTACATAATTTAGGTGCAGGTGCTACATATGGTGTATTCATTGATAATGAGTGGCCAATTGGTATATATGTACTAAACTGTACTGGAGATGAAGTAGAAATATGGGAGTGTATGCATCATACTAATGGCAGTATGCATGGACTTGATTGTTCACAAGGCACTGATGCATCAGTATTCTGCATGTGTAAGTAAAATTGATAATGATAATATACTTTAAATTTCTTTTCCAGCTAATAATACACAGCATGTTAATTGTACTAATGGTGATGTTAGACTTGTTGGAGGTGACATAATGAATGAAGGCAATGTACAAATATGCTACAATAATGCATGGGGATCAGTATGTGATAACCAATGGGACTCTAGTGACAGTAATGTGGTATGCTATCAATTAGGACTACAACCTTTTGGTAGATAATGTTAATTAATCCTTAAATATTATTATTATAATTTTACAGGCTCACAATCTTTTGCTAATAATTATTTCAGTGTCAATGACAATCCTTCATTTGTGATTGGAGCCTTATCTTGTTCAGGATCAGAGGAATCATTGTTAGATTGTTCAAGGCACATAACTTCTGGTGCATCAATAAACTGTCAAAGTCATGAAGTTGCTGGAGTTCGCTGTATTGGTTAGCAAATAATCAAATAAAACAATTTTGATTTTTAAGAATAGGAAGCTGTACTCATGGGTCTGTACGTTTGCAAGGAACTAGTAGTCATCTTATTGGTGAAGTTGAAGTGTGCATTAGAGGAGTCTGGAGTACAGTGTGTGGA